TGGTTTTTGCATCTTTTTGGGACCAACTTTAATATCATGGAAGACCAAGAAACAAACCACTATTTCTCGCTCTTCGGTTGAAGCCAAGTATCGCAGTATGGGCAGCACTGTTTGTGAATTACAATGGATTTCTTACATCCTCAATGATCTTCGCATTCCATTGGTGACACCTATTCCGTTGTGGTGTGATAACAAAGCTGCTTTACATATTACAGGAAATCCGATTTTTCACGAGCGCACAAAACATCTGGATATTGATTGCCATGTCGTGCGAAATCAGTTCAAGGCTGGCTTTGTTTTGCCCCAGTTTGTTCCTTCTCGTCTTCAGTTTGCAAACCTATTTACTAAGCCTCTTGCCTTCCCTCAGTTTACTTCTCTTCTTTCCAAGTTGGGATTGGGAGATTTACACCAATTCCAACTTGAGGAGGGGATGAAAGAATACCAGCACGATACTTACACAGCAGAAGAAGAACTACCGGATATACAAGCAATACCAGATATACCAGAATAAGCTTACCGTATATACCTGAAGTCGTGTTTCTCCTTTTTTACGTTTTTGTTTCCTTCAGTTCTACTTTCTGTTAATACGGTTCTTGCCTGCTGAGTTTTCAGCTTCTTACCTGCTGAGTTGTCAACTTCTTACTGGTTCTTGTTTCAGCTTGTATCTATATATACAGCTGTTATGTTCCCCTTTTGGTTAGATCAATCGAATTAATAAAATTAGTTTTACTAAATATCATTTCAGCTGCTTTTGTTCATTACTTATTCCATTTTCTCACTTTTGTACACTTCTTGCCCAAATTCCTCTTTGCTCTTGCATAGGTTACAACATTCTTTCTTTTATTCTCTTTCCTCCCTTGCCTTTGCTTCTCTCTTTTCTTTATGCGAAGGATCAAAATGGTTCTTTAGTTATTAAAATTACTGAGTTCAACAAGAACATTTAGTCCATGTTTGAGCCACATTCTCATTTTCATTCACATTCTTCTACTCATTTTCAACCACACATTTTTCAATAAAATAATATTTTCCATCACATCAATAGTTTTTCCTTCTTT